GTGGAGGCAGTGCTTATAAGGCTGAGTTTCACCTGAAACTTATCAGACTGAAGAAGTCTCTTGGAAGAGAGATGAAAAGTTTCACTAAAGAAGAACCCATCCAGAGGACCTACTTATTTATTCTTTCTGATTTTTTCTACCTGGATTAATGCTATATACTAAACAGAAAGACTGAAAAAGACTGATTAATAATAGTTTTCTGTGCTCGGCACCCACAATCTTTATTAAATCAAGATTTCAAATAATGCATAATATGAATTAGGAGTTTTCAACACAAAAAACACTTGTTCATTTTCTTCATTCCAATGTGTTTGTGTTTTGCTCAGATATAATTTTTAATGGCCAAACAACCCACCACTTCTCATCAGATTTCAATTCATGTCGCTACAATTTGATTAGCGTATGCAGTTATGAAAAACCCACAAAGTCCACTTCACTTCAAACACATGTACAGAAAAGAATAAAAAGAAAAGAAAATAAATCTTTTAAAAGATCAAAGCCCAAGGGATCAGGTCATTCAAACATGTTTTCTGTGGTTTTAGGAGGAGTTTTGCTCCATTTTCCTGCTTTCCATCTTCTTTTGTTTACATAAACACAGCTCAAACCAATTAAACCATATAGGCTAATAGCAGACAAAGTGCTAATATAATCATAAATATGAGCATTTGGTGAGGCAGATGGTACTCATACATATGTCATATGCAACCATATGACCACTACATCTATAATTWCAAAAGCAACATTGCCTGGAGAATAAATTCTAGTGTAAGATGAAGGTGACGCACTCACCCCAGCTGACTTCCATTGCTGGCCATTTTAGACAGCTTGCTCATTGATTTGGAGTAAGTCTCCTCGATAGCCGCCCTGCAAAAACAAATTTATCAACATGAGCAGAATGACGGTACATTTGTTAAATAAATAGAGGATGCACATTTGTTTTAAAAGTTGCCAACAGAACAACAGCAAGACTAATGTTGATGAATCCCTTTAAGATGTAAATTCTTTTAAAAGCCTTCAGACTGGTAAACATAAAATACCCCAACGACACTTCATTACAAAGTCATTACCTGTGCTAATGACCTCATACGTTATGTTCTCTATCTTCAGCTTACTTCGGTCCAGACACAAGACATCCACTAAAACTAAACAAGTCAGTGGGAGAAGTAAATGAAACCACATCCTTTTCACAAAAAAATGCTTATAAAATTTTAATAACCTTGTAGAGAACAAAATGTGGAGGACCGATAATATCCATCTTGAGGGTTTTGCAAAGCAACTTGCTCCTGAGAACACATAACCGCAAACAAAGCTAATAAACTTTTTATTTATCGACCAAAAACTGCTCCTGTTGTCATGAAGGTCAAACCATAATAAGCAGAGCAAAGATTTTTTTAACATATATTTATTGTATATTTGTTTAATGTTTAATATTTTAGTAATTATTAAATTTGCCTTATTGTATATGTATAAAAACTATAAAGGAAGTATACTGCAGTTCCAGGTGTAGCAGAATGGGCGTTASCTTTGACAAGTTTACTGAGCAGGTAAATTCTCTGTAAATTGGCTGGCCAGTCACCAGAAGGGGGTGCCCTAGATAAGTGAGCCAGTTTCTTTTGCTGGGACCTTTCACTGAACTATCAGGTTACTGGTGCCACGGCATGAAGCTGGGCTGATTGATTCACGCTATCAGAGTACTCTTTTTCTAATTCAGTGAAGGAGAAGTTTGCAGCCAGACTGTTACTGATGAACTTTATTGGGTTGTGAGGAAAGGTTTGGTAGGGCGTCTACTCGACGTAGGACACAAGTGTCTCCTCCTCTTGACGACGGGGCCTCCATTGCAGGGAGGGTGAGGTCGTCTCCCTCCCCTCACACATTTTTCGATCGGTAGCGTGGCATGTATGCCCTCCTCCTGTGATCGCTTTTTAAACTTTTTTTTTAGTTGAMTGTCACCAGGATGAAGTTATCAATGTTAATAGTATTATTTGTTTTAATAAATTTATATTTTAATTTTGGAACACCRTCTCTTATAATTTGTAGAACGAGCCTAAGCGCCTTGTATGAGTTTTATTCTTGGGGTGAAAGTCCCCAGGTGGCGTTGTCAAACTTTAAAAACTTTTCTAAAACTCTCTAAGTTGCCACAATGGCTAGGCAAACCTTCAACTGTACCATGTCCCAGATGATATACTGTATAGATACCACTAATATTATAATTTTGTCTTGCTGGCTAATCATCAGTAAGTTCAATGTCCAGTTCACCATCATAACAAAACATTTACAACAGTTGAGAAAATTCCATCCATCCATCCATCCATCCATCCATCCATCCATCCATCCATCCATCCATCCATCCATCATCTTAACCTGCCTCTTCCTTTCAGGATCACTGGTGCCCATTAGTCACTATGTGAGGTGTGTGAGTGTGTACACACCGGACAGGTTGCAAGTCCATTTTTTTGTGTGAAAAAGCAAGAATGCCAATATCCTGTTTCAATGCTAAAAACCAGAAACTAAACAAACAGCAAGATATTTTCTACCTTCCTAAAAGCCCCATTGGAAGGCAGACTCTTTGGGTGCTGTTTTTATGGGAGAGCTTTGAATGCTGAATACCTCACAGACGTTCTCCCAGCATCTCATTTACTTATTTGACATAAAATCTTTGCAACTGCGTGTACAATYTGTGAGGTGGCTGAGCAATTTTGAGAACAGATGACGTAATATTTATTTTCTGAGCTAAAGCGAGCATCTTCTTGAGATTTCTACTTGGCCTGGCATTCTTTACTTACAAGTGACTTACTGTCACAGTTGGCCTTCTAAATCCAATGAATGTTGTAAATTAATCTAATTAAATGACACACAAACATTTTTTAAAATTACTACTTTGCTGCTGTTGACCAAAAATGATTATAGCTTAAAAGGTAATAATTTCTCTATTTGTTCAAGTCAACTTCGACTTCACAAACCGATCCAAGAGTTTTATTTAAAGTTTTTATGTCAATACAAGCTTTTAGGAAGAGGAAGGGAAAAAAAAGAAGCAGAAGAAATTTATCCAACATGTTTGCCTTTCCTGTTGGATCTCCCTCTTTTTAGCCACAGTGCTTCTGTTTCATTTCCTGACCGCTGATTTGTTGCCTGCTGCTGTCAAGCAGATAAGTGAATTTCCCCTATGAGGAATGTGCACAAATGTTCTGAATCAATGACAGGATTATTTCAGTGGTCTAACAGAGTATGCTGGTTTTCAGCACAGAGACCACCAACTCCTGTGGGAACCTCTTTTCAGTGCAGATACAGATTTTTTTATTTAGCTACGTATAGAAAAAAGAAAACTTCAAGAGTTTAAAATCACCCCAGTGCTTATCTGATTTCAAGTGATTCTCCACATGTCTTTAAAACTGATAAACAAAATCCTATTAAATAATTAAAACAAAAATATAAGGATTTTCTTCTTTAAAAAACAGTACTAAATTCCTAAAACTATTAAAAGCATAGGAAAAAACTTGTTAAAGGGTGTTCTGCACAACTTGCATTCTGCTGATGACGGGACTTCTAACTCATGCAAACCACATAAACCTTGCTAGACACAGCAAGAGATGAAACTCAAAGCAGTTCATTTATAATCTCAGAGCATTTCACTCCACCTCGGCGCAGTCTCTCGTCTTTCTTTGCCTGGTACAGAATCAGGGAGGAAGAAATTCTCCCCAGAATCCCATCACCGCTGCCTCCTCCCACACAGACGTTCACAAACACACACAAACTCTACCTCTCTCGGGCGAACTCCGCAAGCTCTTTGGTTGCCAGCTGGCCATGCTTCATGTTGTGGTAAAGTACGTCGAAGCCGGCATTCTTCTCCCCCTGTAAAAGGTACAAATAAAAAAACACAGCACACATCTTCTGTTAGAAACACATCAAGAAACAAACTGACACAATTACAGTATGTTAAAGAGGAAAAAAGTCAGGTGGTGCATATACTTGTTTCACTTTAACCATTATTTTTAAAGCTTCAGTACATGTATAGGGGTACGCTGGCGTTGATACTTATTTGGAGCAAAACATGCAAACAATTTTGCAATTTAACAAATTAAGATAATTATTAACAAATAACCAAAGTTTCCTTTGTACAGGCCCAAACCTACTAGGGAGAAAACTTACTTTAGTTTTTGTAGATCCAACAGTCCATCATCAATATTTCACAATAAACTCCAATATCAGTTGAGTAAATTGTGCAGTTTCTCGTGCATTCTACAGGTGCTGGTCATAAAATTAGAATATCATGAAAAAGTAGATTTATTTCAGTAATTCCATTTAAAAAGTGAAACTTGTATATTATATTCATACATACATTACATACAAACTCATATATTTCAAATGTTTATTTCCTTTAATTTTGATG